TCGCCCGTCCGTGGGAATTTCGAAGTCCCCGAGCTACGCCCTCGACGTCTCTTGCGTTATACATGCAGCAGGAACAAAATTTTCCTTGTCTAAACTATAGTGTTACTATATTATAGATAATGAAAGAGTGGATCTTGAGTGATCGAGAACTAAGAATAAATATATGTATTCAACCCTTTGCACTCCAGAAGTTTTTCGCCAGGCTACGCCCTCGACGTCTTTTGCGTTATACATGCAGCAGGAACAGAATTTTCCTTTTCTAAATTACAGTGTTACTATATTGTAGACAATGAAAAAGTGGATCTTGAGTAATCGAGAGCTAGGAATAAATATATGTATTCAACCCTTCGCACTGCAGAAGTTTTTCGCCGGAAATATTCAATATTTTCTAATGAGACACAGATGATAGATTCTTAGATTGAATTAAGGAATCTCACATGCATTGTGGGAGAGAACTATTTTCTTTCAATATTTCGTACATTGATGCATTGTACAAAGTTTAATATTAAATATCAAAGTTTACTTATAGTAAACTATAAGAACTACAGGAATATTTGAAAATATCTGAAAATTATGTGAACACCGTGCCAAAAAATGGCAGTTTTCCCTGATTAGTGTACGAGCTTTAATCATTTAAGCAGTTATATTTTTTTTAATCAGCAAGCGTTGCAGAGTAATGTATAAGTGTAATATTTTTTAGAAGATTCTTTCGTCATCGTTCAACTTTAAGTATTTTTTGAAGATTCCAGTGAATATTACACCGATAAGAATGCAATTGACGTTGACGTTGCGTTTTGAATTTTTGATGTTGGGTGATTTTAGCTCGAAAGCTTCTTCGAAGTGACAGTGCTGCACGATGAATATGCAACGGATTTGGGGAAGTTAACTTTTTGCAGATGAAAGTGGATGAAAATATTGCGGATATCGTGCAAAGGGAAAAAATTGGACTGATACACGAGTATACGCGGACCGTTTTATTAAATTCGTTTATATGTTTTTGTTATGAAGGAGATTCGATTAAATATGGAAACTTGTTTTCGGATCAAATTGACTCGAATCGCCGAGAAGAATTGAAAGTTCAATTCTGCATGAAGTTGAAAAAGTTTTTCAGCGAAAAATAAAAATGAGCGTAATAAGAGAAATAAAGTAATGTTTACAATCAGTTTTTCAATTGAACGCCACAATACCTGGCCACGGCACTCCAATCGATTCAAACCTATTGCATTTGAGTGGTCGGAGCGAGTTGGAAGTCTATTGTGACCTGTGGCGTGTCTCGTGTCCCTTTTTTCATCGACAAACAAGTCTTAATGAAAAATAAATATTAACAGCTGAATAGATCTTGCACAGAGGACTGTAAATTCATTACACGGTAGGCCACCGGGTTTACTTCGTCAAATCGCAACTCGGTTTGCTAATTTCCCATTGAAATCGAGGAATAACATTTCTTACGCAATATTCATCGTGTCGTAGCGCAAACAAGCATTTCCATTTGACAATGTAAACGTATTAATAATCAGTAAACTCACTATGAAACAGTATTCCAATTTATTTTCCGTTAACATTTCGAAAGCTATTGTATTTTACAGATGTGGAAATTCTAGAAAAATGTTAACTGACTCTACGGTGAAAAAATGAGAATAAGAAGTCACTCAACAATTTCCACATTTAATTTTCATTGCACTATATTTGCCTCTATTGTAACAAACGCCCAGAAAGAGGAAAGTAATTAAAATTCAGAAAAATAATAATTACATAGCACATAACGTAAAAAATTTAGAATAATAATTACACAATAAATAACGTAAAAAATTTAGAACAATAATTGCACAATAAATAACGTAAAAAATGTAGGAAAACAATAATCGAGTCATAGATCAATGTTAAGTCCGCGAAACAGAAATTGAGAAAATTAACGTTTCAGCTTCTAAAATAATTATACAATATATTCAGAAGCCATAAAAAATGTACAAAGGTCAGAAAATACCAAAAAATCGATTTAACCACACCCCCTCCCGAGCGACTCAATGAACAGTCTGAAAACTCGATCGCACATCGTGTCGATCGTTGCCACTACTCGATTCGCTGCACCGAAGAAATCAGACGCTCCTCGGAACA